ATATATATATATATATATATATATATATATATATATGCACCAATATTCTTTTTTTTTCATCATTTATTCTTATTTCAATATTGATACAGCTTTTTTTTTTCTCCTCTCCTCCATTTTTGAATATTACTGTTATACAGCAGCAGTAATAATTTGCAGAAAATTTAAAATCAAAAGTCAAAAAAAAAAAACATTTACATTACAACTTAACTTATATCAAACAATTACACGACAATTATTTTCAGAAACACTGTTGTCGATTGTTCAAACTTACTTCAGCTAATATAAATTCAGTAGAATTTATATAAAACAGATAACTTGGATTCAGATAATTTGGATTAATAGTAAAAAAATATTTGCAATTGTTGATAACATTTGTCACCATTTATCGATAACGTCATCGCCACCATCGCCATCGCCATCACCACCACCACCACCACCACCACCAAAAATGGCAACAGATACCAGTGATGAAGGTGACGACCAAAAAAGCAGTAAAAATCATTGATATTGCTGTAAACATATGCATTAACTGCATTCCAAAATGCATTTAAATACAGAAAAATTTTTCTGAAGTTTTACTTGTTTTTTTTTTCCTCTCCATTTTTTTTTTTGGCTCTTCCTTTTTTTCTATTCTTTTTACTTTTTTGATGAATTGATGATAAATTTTCTGTACCATTAAATGAATCATATTTTTTTAAAGTCTTATATAGTAAAAATCGATTACTGATGTCTTTTTTTTTTTTTCTGCAATTCTTTGTTCTTTTTATTTTTTGTATTTTATTTTTCTTCCACCTTTTTTTTTTGCTTTTTTCCTTTTTTGATATATTTTATTTTGCTGTTCAGTTAATTTGTTTTTGGGTAACTTATGAGTACACACAGACAAATACACTTATAAATCATGTCGACTGGTATCAGAAGATGATGACTGTATATGCTGCAAAAAACTATGAATTAGTCATTAAAAGAAATTGATAGTTTTGTGGTATGAAGAAAAAACAAAAATCAGAAAAAAAAAAAGTGTTTAAAATTTGTTTTTTGCAAACAAAAAAAATTGTCAAACAACAACAACAACAAAACTGTTCTTTGTTGTAAAATTTATTTGTAAAATTTTACATAATTTTTGACAATTTAACATCAAACATTATTTATTGTTGTTCTTTTGGATACGATATCATTGATGACAATTCCATATTGCAGTATTACCACCACCACCACCAGCAGCACCACCACCTCATCAA